AATATCCATCCATCCATCCATCCATCCATCCATCCATCCATCCATCCATCCATCCATCCATCCATCCATCCATCCATCCATCCATCCATCCATCCGGTGCAGCAGCCTAAGCAGAGAGACCCAAACTTCCCTCTCTCCAGCCACTTGGGGAATCCCAAGGTGTTCCCAGACCAGCTGAGAAACATAGTTCCTCCAGCGTGTCCTGGGTCTTCCACGGGGTCTCCTCCCAGTGGGACGTACCCAGAACACCTCACCGGGGAGGCGTCCAGAAGGCATCCTGACCAGATGAACCACCTCAACTGGCTCCTCTCGACGTGGAGGAGCAGCAGCTCTACTCTGAGTCCCTCCTGGATGACCGAGCTTCTCACCCTGTCTCTAAGGGAGAGCCCAGACACCCTGCAGAGGAAACTCATTTCAGCCGCTTGTATCTGCGATCTCGTTTTTTCGGTCACTACCCAAAGCTCGTGATCATAGATGAGGGTAGGAATGTAGACCGACCGGTAAATCAAGAGCTTTGCCTTCTGGCTCAGCTCTCGCTTCACCACAACAGACCGGTACAACGCCCGCATCACTGCAGACGCAACACCAATCCACCTGCCGATCTCCCGCTCTATTCTTCCCTGATTCATGAACAAGACCCTGTAAGACACGTGAGTCTCACTTCTTCCCTGCAGTGTAATGGTTAATTATGAATCATAAGAGATGAAGTGAAACACCGCTGCTTATGTCTAAACTAGGGCTGTCAAATGATTAAAACTTTTAATCTATTCATTCCAAGGTAGCTGTGAATTAATCACGATTAATCATGATTAATCTTAAACTTAATAGAAAACTAACTAAATAAAATAAAATAAGCCATAAGAAGACAAAAAAAACTGTACATAATGTGTTACACATGGAGTTTTGTTTATTTTGTTTATTTAACCTTTATTTATCCAGGTAAACTGTTTGAGAACCACATCTCATTTACAAACATGACCTGGCATGCACTGAGTGCATTGTACAAACCTGCATATTCAGCCAGAGTAAAGTGATTGTAAATTTTAATCAAGATTAAAATTTTTAATCTATACCCATGCAGCACTAAAATTAATCAGAGTTACAGTAACTCAAATAATTTCACAGCCCTAGTCTAAACATCTAAAAATAAGTTTTAAAAAATRCTAAATTTTAGTTTGGATTTCCTCAGATTAATAATAATTAATAATCTACCAGTACAGTTTGATCACTTGGTAAGACCTTGACATAAAGAAAACTTTTCATGTTAACAAGATTATTAAAAAAAGAAAAACAGGGTTTTGTTATTGGACTTCTGTGCTCGTCATGGATTGTCCATAACAAACACAATAATGTTCAGACGTGCTCTTAACACCAGAGGCTCATTTCACTAAAGTCAGATTTCTAAATTCAGGATATGAGCTGTAAACTGAGCTTGAACAAGCCTTCAACTTGTCAACAGCTGTAATTGCTCTAACAAGCCACGCTTAAACAGGGTGGTTCATTCAAGCAGCATTAATTGTTTTAGGATTAATGCACGTTCATGGTTTGTTTACTAGACCCATCAGGTGGATCACAGATTTCCTGATCAGGCATGTGCAGTAAGACATGTGAGTCTCACTTCYTCCAGCAGTTTAATGGGAATGCATCATGACGTAGTTTCCCATTCTCTATAGGAGAAGTACAACTATGTAGAGCAGTGGTGTCCAAAGTTGGTCCTTGAGGGTCGGTGTCCTGCATGTTTTAGGTGCTGCCTTGGTTCAACACAGCTGAACCTAAGCACTGTTTAATTAGTAGGCTTCCTCAGTATGTCAGCAAAGACACCGGCCCTTGAGGACCGACTTTTAATTTACAGTTCTTTACTTCTTTCTTCTTTTTTATTCGTTATTTTTTTAGTTGTTATATGAACTATTCATATTTATTATTGAGTGAATTAAATTAAAAATAAATGAAAATCAAATTAAATGAAAATGAAAACATCATAGARAAAAACTGAAGAGGTTGTAAAATATGATCCAAACAGAATACAAAATATCTTTGTAGCACCAGGAGAGACTACATTTAACTTTTCTGCAGAGACTCCATACACAACAAAATGTATTTAACAGCTAAAAAAAAATGCATTTTTACCAAGTGAGACAGAAAGACCCATCCCACGTCTTACCTGAATGGTGACAATGCGTGGCAAAGGTTGGCGTGTATTCGCTCCGCCCTCTATTGCAATTCCCAGSGTGTTGGCATTTTTTACAACCCGTACTAAGACAGCACAGGGGGCTGGACTGGGTGAGTTCATCTGTTGGAAGACCCAATGAAAGGAGGTCAGACAGTGGTAGGATTTTTGTTACTGAGTCAGTGCATTTTGTTTTTCTATTTCTTTGATGATTCTGGTTCAGATTCTCATGCTTTCCCTGCAGTGTTTTTATTTTCTTTTTATTTGTTTGTCTTGCTTTCTGTTATCCCTTCCTTCCTTCCTTCCTTCCTTATTTGCGAATCATCCCATGTGGTCCCAAGTGTGGTGGTGTGTTGGGTGCTGTTTTATGAAGCATTCCAGAAGAAAATAATTTGCACAGCTGTGGGCAATTTCTAATTAGTTTTTCTGTTTTCATCTGCAGTTTACAGCTAGGATGAAAAGGGTCTACTTGGGGTTATTATGTCAGATGTGGAAGTATTTGTTGGTAACATTTATATGAAAGAGAGGGTGTGTTTGACCAAGAAAAACTGCAGTAAACCTTTCTGCTCATCCTCATTCAATTCAAAAAATAATGTATAAAAAGTCTGTATCCACAGAGCAGCTGTGCATCGATGGTAAATGACTTTATCAAGTCCATACTGACTCCAAARCACTTTACACTTCAATCATTCACCTGCTCACACACTGAAGTTTCACAAATCAGTTTTTAAACTACAGCAGATTAAAGAGGCTCAACGTAGTAAAACAGGTGGAATCGCCCTTTAGCCATTTGTGAAAAATTCAGTTATTTTCTGATAGAATAGCTTTTTTCTTGTAAATTCCCGATTTTACAATGTCAGAAAAGATTTAATATTTTAATTAAATCTTTTAAAAATCAAAAGTTTTTTCCAGCAAATTTACAACTTTTTCACATTAGAGAATTTCCTCCTTTTTTTCTTAAAAATTTCAGAAATTAATACTTTGGTGAAGATTTATTCCTCTTTTTTTAATCTTCAAAATGTCCCTAATACGACATCGTATTTCGGAGGTTTTGCGAAAATAAAAAGATGTAAATTTTGTCGTAACTTTCTGAGAACAAACTTCTTGATGTCTTGCATGGAAACAAATAGAAGTGTCTTTACTGTCATAATACAGAAYGTACAATGAGACTGAAGAGCGACTCCTTTTCAGTGAAAAACAAAATTCTGTGGCAGACTCTTACATTTGATTTTTACACGTGTAGGCTCTTATTGTGAGAGTTAAGAGAGTGTAAAAAACGTTTTAAAAAGACTTACTACTGTATTCATTGTCCTGTTTTGGTTCTTGGAAATACATCTTTATTAAAATGAGACTCAAATGTATTTTTTTCTCTTTTTGCAGATTTGACACTTCTAAAATAAACATATGCATACATTATAAAAATCTAGAATATAAAAAAGTAAACCACAGGGATGTGATGTTCAGTTACAGGACATGAATATGAATATTTCACATTGTTGAGAATAGATCTTGCTCAGTGGAGAAGAGTGTAACCAGCAGCAGCAGTATTATTAAATTTATTGCACATTATTTTATGTTATTGTTGAGAAGGAAGTCTGATCCATAAGCAGGTCAGCCTTGAGACTTAATAGGCATCAAATCTAAATATTTGGACCAGTGTATGATTCTTGAAGCCTGCCAGGCTGATTAAAGTCAATAATACACAAGTTAATTTAGGAGGATGCACATGGAAGTGTGAAAAACAGCTAACATGAAGCATTTCCATATCCTGACACAGGAAACGGTAGAACAACGCAGATTTTACTACCTGAACCTCTGTAAAGCACAGACAGGCTGTGTCTGTCACTCTGTTGAGTGTAATAAAAACAAGGATGAGTGAAGGAAAACAATGACARTTCTGCTAATCCTGCTCCTCTCCTTTGTGATGCTTTGTCTTGCTCTATAGTTGCAAAAATGTTTTGSTAATGTGTTCTCCCCTCTGCTGGAATATGCTAATGTTATTTACAGAAAGATCACACTGAGATTCACCTGGCCTACTGATGCCTTCACCAACATGAAGACTTTCAGAATAAACACGAAGAACGGATCAAATTCATGATTGACTAGTGTGAGAACGAGAAATCTCACATAGTTCAGTGACTTTTTTTCATCTGCAGATGGTTGTGGTGCAGTGGTTAGGAGAGTCGTCCTGGAACCGGAAGGTTGCCAGTTCAATCCCCCATCCAGCTGTTTCAGTCGTTGTGTCCTTGGGCAAGATACTTCACCTGCCTTGCCTACTGATGGTGGTCAGAGGGTCCGGTGGTGCCGGTGCRTGGCAGCCCCAACTCTGTCAGTGTGTATTTTGACTAAGGACATGTACACAGTGAATAATGTTTGGAGGATAATAACATGCCCTTAGTCAAATTACACAGCAGCTTTAAGAGTATAAAGTACTTGTGCGTGTGGTGGTGGGGTAGTGGCCATTAGGAAAAATATTTCAATTAAAAGTTTTTTTTCTCTTTAACCCATGACTGTATCACATAATGTGAACCTGCATATTTATTCAGATTTTACTTTGTATGAATTTTAATGTATTTATGTTGAGCTTTCTACAGATTAGAAGGACAACAGAAAACTATTTCAGTGGAGAAATCACAAAGTGATTACAAAGAACTACTTTGGTACAAACTTTTAGATAATAAAGGAAAAAACTATGTGCTACATATTAACAGAGCGGAGGACTCACTGGTATGGTGGCCCCTGAAAAAGGTGCATAGGGCCCTTGCTGTTCCAGAAGACAAAGCCTGTTCTTGTTTGGTCGAGGGCTGCCATCTTTACAAAGGCCTCCTGATTCTGCTATGTCCACTCCACTATCTTCACTCAGAGTCTGTCCACTGTCTGACAGCTGAGACAGTGGAGCTCCTACAAGGAATACAAGAATGTTAGAGTATTCCTAGAGAGAGTCACAGTTCATTTTTGAGCTATTGACTGTTTAACATGAAAAAATATATCATATCACTTCATCTACATCAGTAGTGTCCAATCCTGGTGCTCGAGGGCCTCTAGCCTGCAAGTTTTACATTTTTCTCTGCTCCAACACACCTGAATGAATGGGTGATTAACAGGTTTCAGCAGATCTGGAACAGGTAATGCGGTCACTGCATTAGTTAGGACATGAGCTGTAAGCTGAGCTTGAACAAGCCTTCAACTTTTCAACAGCTGTAATCTGTTGCTCTAACAAGCCACGCTTAAGGGCTCGACACACGGGAGGCGACGTCGCTCGCTCTCCATTCATTTCCTATGGAGCCTGTGCAGTGAGGCGACTATCGCTTGCCCTCCTCCAGCTAAGCGACCTGCAAAAATAGTGCATGTGAAATTTTGCGCTCGTACACGTAGACGTGCACACGCGAGCTTGCGACGCGACATATGAAAGTTGAAAAATGTTCAACTTTTGTCGCTGTCACTTAGCGTACAACCAATCAGCGAGGGTTTCATTGACTGACCAATGAGAAGAGAGTATGCTACACACTGCAGTTAGCTAACACTTTCACCAAGTGATTACTAAAAAGCTTTGTGGGAATTTATTGGCACCAGGGTGAAGTTTATGGTAAGTTTTTCCTCATAAAACTGTATCTTGATGTGTGTTTGTTTTCAATATCATTAGCATCGCAAGATTTATTTATTTTACACGTCCGTAATGCACACCCGCCTTCAGAGTCAAGAACCAATCAAATTTTGTGAAGACAAGCGACCTGAGAGCGCGATTCGCAGTGCTGCGATCGCTATCGCGTCCCATGTGTCGGGTTTCACCCTGGCTGCGATGACAGCCGTTAATCGCTGTAGTTTGTCGCTGCCCGTGTCGAGCCCTTTAATCAGGGCGGCTCATTCAAGCAACTGTAAATGGTGTAGGGTTAATGCACGTTCATGGTTTCAGTAAAGTGACTGTCTACTGCTCAGAAACATTAACAGATTAAATAATTCCATTTTAAACCTTAAACCCATGGAAATATAAGTGCTTTCTTTCCTGTGCAACGATTCAAGGCTTAACTAATTCAGGTTTGCGCCAAAATCCCAGATTAACCCCTYATCCTAGTTTTGTGCAATAGGCTTCTAGACTGGACACCCCTGTTCTGCATCTACATTCAGACCCTTTACTACGTTCTTTGTAAACTCCTCCTTCAGGACCATCTTTGTGGTAAAACATCTTAAACCCTGTCCCTATGCTGTGAGTCTTCTGCATCATGTCAGCAGCTCTCAGTCATCACGTGTCAAGTCGTACAGATTGYCCATGAATTACACWGATTTTCTCCCAGTTTGCATGAACAAAGACATATAGAAAAAATCTTATAGATTACAAACAAAAAACGTGCGTATAACCATTGATTAGTCTCAGAGTCGGCAAGCTGTAAGATGTGTCAAATTCAAGTCCCACAACAAAATAAGCAAATGTAAAAGGTGAAGGATTATTGTCCTGATTTAGATRCAGTCCTGTATTAATGTCTCAAAATAAGCTGTTTTAAAGCTAATACTGAGCATAAACTATATCTCCAATGATAAATGGGAATTCTTTGTCAGAAACTGGGAGAGTTCAGAAATCAAGAAAGCAGCTATTCACCACAACTCAACAGTGAGTAAAGCTTTCTTACTTTACTTTTAATAGTAGTTCTGTTTTATTTATTACACATTTAGTCAGTCAAATATGTAGTACTTTTCAGTGTTTATAAAAAGATGTGTTAAAATGCTGTTCATATGCAGGAAACACCAGGTAAAGCTTTGACGCCCCTGCTGTAAGGAAAAATGTATACCACTTCCTCGTCTTCCCTCCCTGCTCCTCTGTCCCCACATCCTCACCCCGCTGCCAACAGTCCACTCTAAACCCCTGTGGTATTACCTGAGTGAAATGGATTTTTAGAGAAAACTATAGATTTTTGAGGGTTAAGGTACGGTTAAACATCTGAAGGGTTTGACATGTATAAGTTCTACACTCTTGACTTTCCTCTCCTCTTTCTGTCTCCTGACACATTTCCCTCCTCGTGGTCTTAAGTAGAATAATGTCCACCAGCAACGTTTGTCAACAGCCCCAGTGGTGGTCAAACCTGGGCCTCAACATCCAGCATGGTGTCATTTAGATCAGGGATTCCCAACCAGGGGTACGTGAGCATATTACAGGGGATACGTGGAAAAATTTCCCAGGTGTGTAAAAAAATAAAAAAATAAAAATAGGACTGAGATTTGTAGGGCCCTATGAGTTCTGCAATGCAGAAAATGCACAAAATTGACACAAAATGGAATCATTTATAAAACGCGGAATCTCAAGGAATTTGCTCATTTGGGGTATTTGATGTATTTTGGACTCTGCTGCTTCCTKCACCTGCCATTACCTGGTTTATTTATTTAATTACATGTTCACTTTCAAGGCAACACATTTATCTTTGTTTAATTTGAGTTGAAAATAATAAAATGCCTGAGAATTAAATGTTCTAGAGCAGTATTTCCCAAAGTTGGGGTCGGGACCCAAAGTGGGGTCCTGAAACATCAAGGTGGGGTCCTGAAAAGATTTTCTGAATTAATTACACTTTTGCCTTAGTTGTTACAAAGGAGTGAGGTTAGCATATTTAAAATGGATAAATGTAGTATAAAAATATTATTACTATGCCCATGTTTTGTTGACCTGATAAAATGTTTATCATCCAAAAATAGCTGGGGGCACAGGTCTCTGCTACTGTTATTTTGTGGGTCAAAAGCTGAAAAGTTTGGGAACCGCTGCACTTTGGTTGCCAAAGTTGGGCTTGGGACCCAATTATGGGTCATGAAGCACCTTGGATAATCTCCAGAAATCAATTTAAAGGGTAATAAAATAATTGCTGATGTAATATTTTCCCTAATTATTACAAAAACACAAAATAAGTATAAATAAGTATTTATATTTGTGTATAAGCTGTTTAGATTGTCAAAAAGCCTGTGTTTTTAGGGTTATTAACGAAGCTTGTGTACTCAGACCAGTAATATTTGGGGTCACAAGTTTTTGCCATGRATATTTTGTGGGTCAGAAGATAAAAAGTTTGGGAACCACTGCTCTAGAGGGTTAAATAAATACGTTTCATTGAATAATCAGTTGTAGTACATTATAGTTTTGGAGAACCATCATTACGTTTGACTGAAGGGGTACTAGTGGTAAGACAAAATGGCTCAGGTGGTACACAAGTCTAAAAAGGTTGGGAACCACTGATTTAGATTAACTTACGTTTTGTTTTGTTTTTGACAAAAAGTTTGATAAAGGATGCTCTTCCCTCAACATTTACCAGGGCTTGGGACGACTGGTCTTGTGTATCTCTTGAACCACAGTAGAAATGTCTATCCAAACACTCAGGACATAACCAATGGCTGTATTTCTGGAGTCACCCCATTTCAAAATAACTACCACAGCCTGTCACCAATATCAGCACACATGGCTCTAGTCAAGTTATGTGGTTATCACAATTTATTTTTAACACTACGCACACAAAATGATTCTACACCATCACACTAACTGTGTACCTCTTTGTGGTTGTCTGGACTCTGCAGACAGACGGTTCATATCCGTTATAATGATTTTCTGGCTGAGTGCAGGTGAGCAGGGCYGGTCAGGACTGCAGGACGAAGCAGCAGGCGTGATGAGAGATGGGCATGGAGAGGGACATGGTGAAGGATGGGGTGATAGGTGAGGGGACGGCATTGGAGACCCTGCCTTTGATGAGGATGCAGATTTTGAGAAGACAGAAGACTTTTCRTAGGAGCTTGATCTGGAGGAAAATTTAGCCAAAGCCTCAGGTCTGGCAGATGGAGACGAGTCCCGATGGTGTAAGAAGCCTGGACAAGTGTGGTGTCCAGAACTGGGTCGGTTTTGGTGAGCAGCATGATGGTGGATATGTTGAGTGAACTGGGGGTGGTCAGAAAGCTGTGAGGAGCTCTGGCATGTGTGATGAAGGGCATTAAGGGAGGTGTGGTGTCTGGCACCAGCACAGGGGTGCTGACCAGATGTTGTCGGGGGGGAGTGGGTGGCAGAGACATGTGTGGGGGACTTGTGGGGGCAGTCCTGCTGCAGCCGAGTCAGCCCTGTGAAGAGCAGACTGGATGTGGGCTGCACAAGTCGGGCCGAAGGCTTCAGGTTCAGTTCGTTCTCTCTGGTCACCAGGTTCTGGGTCTTGTACGGAGCAGCTCTGAAGCATGGAGGAGATTCATTTGGAGCCCTCATCTCATCCTGGAGAGAAAAGAAAGAAATATAAAAATCTAAAACAATAAGTGCATTTACTCTCTCTGAACCTTTTCCTGAAGGTTTCATTCCTTCTTAACAAAATAAAATTCAAAACCTTGTCWTTAAATTCAAGAATTTGATAAAAAAATATTGAAGTTAAATATCTGTGTAAACCCCTGCAGTAGTTTGACACTCTTCTGTGAGATGTTTTTAGACTCAAGCTTGCTCTGTGTGCTGGCAGCAGCCTGCTCCATTTGTTATAACTGTTATGTGTCAATCTAAGTGTGAAAGTTAAATCTTAAATGTTGAAGTTTACATTAAGTATTTCAGAATGGAACACAGCCTTTGCCATTAGTGCTCGGGTCTTACTATGATGTCATCATTCTGAGACAGTAGGAACCGCTAACCCTGCTAACTCTTCCCTACAAAACATCAAACTTGCAGTTGTCTGAGCTGCACTTCAAACTTCCAGACCACAGGTACAAATACAATCTTCAGTGTTAAAAGCGTTAGCCAAGGTTAGTGCTAGCTAACCAGGATGATGTCATCATCCAACGACAAACATCGACATCAGGTACTGCTAGCTTTACTAGCTTTATTCTCCTCAGCTGCGTGTGCGCCTCGCAGGCGTGCTGTCACTGACATGTTTACATCTACAGGTAACAAGTGTATAAAACCTGTACAGTTTACAGTGCAGTGAGGTTGTTTCTTTTGTTTTATGAGTGTTACATTGTCTGAGGTTATTTGTGGTTCAGTTTCATCCTTCAGATTTAAACCTATAYAAACTCAAACTCAAAACAACTAGTGTTTACATACCCCATAAATTCAGAAAACCAAGTCCAATTTCTGAGTATTCAGGTGAGTTTCAGTATTTTGTGGTTTGATATGTGGACCATGCTGTCTGTACATTCTCATTACAAATAAAATGTGTGTGTAGATTTACACACATCTCACACATTGTTCGTTTTGATACATCCCGACGTGTGTGAAATCTCACACACACAACTTTTCGTGCGTATAGCCATTAATTCATGAGGCCTCTGGTCTTTTTCTATTCTAGAACCATCAGCCTGAGAGAGTGACGGGACTTTCAGTACAGGTATAAACATGTGTTGGTCCACTTAATGCTGATGCCAGATGGACGAGCTTTGGGCCACAGAACAACTGATGAGACTGTTAAATTATTTAAAGCTGCTGCTTAAATGGACCATGGATCTGGAGGACTGCCCAATCAGAGATATTTTATGGGAAATATTCCTATAATTACTTCCACATAAGAGAACATGTGGCCTGTTTTTATTATTCATACAGTATGAGGAGGTTTAAATAAAAATGTTTACAAACTGAGGCCATAGCTTAACCTAGATAATCTCTGAGTTTGAACCCTTAGGTTCATCTTCAGCAGAGTTTCAGAATAAAAACAAAACAAACATCAAAGACATTATGCTGTACTCATGGTGGAGTTTTAAACAAAAACCGCATGCTGAGAGAGTTCAAAGTCTTTTGGTCATAATCTCTTGTTGTAATGTGAGCGGTGATAACACCCTATTAAATTTGTAAAGGATGACTCTCAGCTACTTCAACTTTAGCTCAATATCTTTAAAAGTGACAGAAAGATTTATGGTGACTAAGATCAACTAGCTATGGCAGACATCTTGAAATGGGTTGTTTACAATGAGGTCATTAAAACTTGTCCAGTGGGTCCACAAGATATTTTGTTATCAGACAGCTTTTTGTCTGTTTAAATTTTGAGAAATGTATAAAGCTGGAAGTATCACTGTGAATCACTCTCGTCTATTAATACAACCCCTGGCTAAAATAATGGAATCGCTGGCCCCGGGGGATGGTCATTCATTTGTTTAATTTTGTAGAAAAAAAAGCAGATCACAGACATGAAACTAAAGTCATTTCAAATGGCAACTTTCTGGCTGTAAGAAACACTAAAATAAATCAAGAAAAACAAATGTGGTAGTCAGTAATGGTCATTTTTTTAGACCAAGGAGAGGGGAAAAATATGGAAYCACCCTGTCGATTTTCATTCCCAAAACCAACACCTGCCTCAAATTAGATCTGCTGTGATCACACCTTGGAGAGCTGTTGCACCAAGTGGACTGGCATGAATCATGATGGGTGTGGTGTAGTGGTAGAGCAGCTGGCTTTGGGACCCGAAGGTCACAGGTTCGACTCCCCGCCATGCCCACATGCCATGGTGTCCTTGAGCAAGACCCCCAACCCACTGCTCCCTGGGCACCTCACATGGCTACCTGTTGCTCCACTTGGGTGTGGATGGGTTCAATGCAGAGCACAAATTTTGTCATTGTATGGGAACATACACTGATGACCAATATTAGCACCTTTACCTTTACCAAAACAAGAGATGTCAATTGAAACAAAGGAGAGRATTATCAAACTCTTAAAAGAGGGTAAATCATCACGCAATGTTGCAAAAGACGTTGGTTGTTCAGTCAGCTGTGTCTAAAATATGGACCAAACACAAACAACATGGGAAGGTTGTTAAAGGCAAACATATACTGGTAGACCAAGGAAGACATCAAAGAGTCAAGGCAGAAAACTTAAAGCAATATGGCTACAAAACAGAAAATGCACAACAAAACAAATGAGGGAGGAAGCTGGAGTTAACGTCTGTGACCCAACTGTAAGAAACCGCCTAAAGCAGGGGTGTCAAACTCCAGTCCTCGAGGGCCGCTATCCTGCATGTTTTAGAGGTTTTCCAGCTCCAACACACCTGATTCAGTGATTGAATTAACTCTTCAAATTGGGCAGAAGCCTGTTAATTACCCAGCGATCAAAATCTGGTGTGTTGGAGCAAGAAAACCTCTAAAACATGCAGGATAGCGGCCCTCGAGGGCAGGAGTTTGACATCCCTGGCCTAAAGGAAATGGCATTTACATACAGAAAAGCTTAATGAAAGCCATCATTAAAACCTAAACAGAAAAAAACAAGGTTACAATGGGCTAAAGAAAAGTAATCGTGGACTGTGGATGACTGGATGAAAGTCATATTCAGTGATAAATTGTCAATCTGCATTGGACAAGGTGATGATGCTGGAACTTTGTTTGGTGCCGTTCCAGTGAGATTTATGAAGAGGACTGCCTGAAGAAAACAACCAAATTTCCACAGTCCTTGATGATATGGTACTGCATGTCAGACAAAGGCCCTGGGGAGATGACTGTGGTTCATTCTTCTATCAATGCACAAGTTTACATTGACATTTTGGACTCTTTTCTTATCCCTTCAATTGAACAGATGTTTGGGGATGATGAAATCATTTTATAAGATGATAATGCATACTGCCGTAGAGCAAAAACTGTGAAAACATTCCTTGAAAAAAAGACAMAKAAGGTCAATGTCATGGTCTGCAAATGAACTGGATCTCAACCCAATCTTTGATGGAAGTTGAAAAAAATGGTCCATGACAAAACTCCAACCTGCAAAGCTGATCTGACAACAGCAATCAGAGAAAGTTGGAGCCAGATTGATGAATACTGTTTGTCACTCATTAAGTCCATGCCTCAGAGACTGCAGCTGTTAGAAAAGTCAGAGGTGGTGCAACAAACTACTAGTGAAATGTTGGAGTGTTCTTTTGTTTGTTTTTAATGATTCCATATTTTTTTCCTCAGAATTGCGTAATTCCACAATTTTTTTCCCTCTGCTTGGCCAAAAAAAGTAACTGTTACTGACTGCCACATTTTTTTCTTGATTTCTTTCAGTGTTTTTTTAAAGCCAGAAGTTGCCATTTGAAATTACTTTAATTTTGTAGAAAAGAAGCAGATCACAGACAAAACAAAACTAAACAACTGAATGAACATCCTCCGAGGCTGGTGATTCCATAATTTTTTGCAGGGGGTTGTATATTGGAATAATGCTAAGCTAATGCATATTAGCTCTAAATCTATATAAATGGTTTAGTTATAATCATGATTGTTAGCTGGCTGATTATTAAATTGACCCCAAAAGTCAATCAGTTGTAAATTAAATAATTTCTTCCTGAGTGTTTCCATAAAATGTGTTAATTGTTTTATGATATATTTTGCCCTTTCAGTGGCAGCTGTGACATTAATCACAGAAACATAGAAACAGTTTTGGTCAGGAGTTTACAGCCTCGAACATCATAATTATTCTAAACTTTGAATGACTGGACCTGTCTTTGTCCAGGGTGGGATGCATTCACAACTTCAGGGACTAAAAAAGAAAATATGGAGCACCTGTTTTTGTGGAATACAAAAAGTTCAAAATAAATTTRGAGTCAACACCTTGACCACTTGCTTTGTGAAGTTATCAACAAGCGTCTGGCAGAACTCTGGCTGGATATTTGACCAGGTAAAAAMAACAACAACAACAACCCACACGTTTAAATCTAGTTACTGTCCTCAGAGTCTGAACTGTATTTGAAGCAGACATCTCSGGCAGAATGAGGTCTCTGTGGATGGATGTGGACTGAAGTGACACATCATTATAAAGAAGACGTGCCACTAAAATAGCTGTTCTGCTCTCAGTGAGAGAAAGAAAAAAATGATATGTGAAAATACACACACACACACACACACACACACACACACACAC